CTGGGTCACACTGTACCCCTCCAGTCCAGTCTGGGTCACACTGTACCCCTCCAGTCCAGAGATCACTGGTCCAGTCTGGGTCACACTGTACCCCTACAGTCCAGTCTGGGTCACACTGTACCCCTCCAGTCCAGCCATGTTGCTGATGTCCTGTCCTCACATTCCCAGGGCCCTGAGGCTTCCAAAACGACCCGTTACCACGCGCTGGCCGACGAGAAGAACTTCCTGGAGTCCAGCGAGCCGGAGTGCGACTTCCACGGCGCCGCCGCCGCCGCCGACACCTCCGCCGCCGCCGCCGCGCTGCCCCTGGAGAGCGACACCGACCTGTCCGCCACCTTCACCTCCGCCAAGCTCAACTTCGGCCCCGCGGACTGCTAGGGCTGGGGGCGGAGCCGGGGGCGGAGCCGGGGGCGGGGTCTAGTTTTCACACGCCGTAGTCCAACGCCTTCCAGCACAAACAGGATTCCTCTGTGTCCAGGACGCTTTCTGACAGGAAGTCTTCGAGTCCGCAGACTCTCCCCCGAGCGTCCCGCTGGGAATGTCACGGCGAGGGCTGGGAACGGTGCGCTTGCTGTCAGAAGGGTTCGCTTTTCGCCCCAGATCCCCTGGACACTCACCGGGCCCGGCGAGAAGGCTCTTCCCCCGGCGCCTCTCCTTCGCTCGCCTGCTCATCCACGCGACTGACGCCGAATGTGTATTTTTATTTGCATGATGTGTAAAGAAACAGGCTGCAGCCTGGTCACTACTGTGGAGCTCACCGGCCTGACCTCCTCTCTGAGTCCCGCTGTTCTCTGTCCTGCGGCTTGACCTGCGGTCTGCCCACAGTCCCAGTCTGACCTGCAGTCTCCCCACAGTCCCAGTCCCAGTCTGACCCGCGGTCTCCCCACAGTCCCAGTCCCAGTCTGACCCGCGGTCTCCCCACAGTCCCAGTCATAGTGCCAGTCTGACCTGCAGTCTCCCCACAGTCCCAGTCCCAGTCTGACCCGCGGTCTCCCCACAGTCCCAGTCACAGTCCCAGTCTGACCTGCAGTCTCCCCACAGTCCCAGTCCCAGTCTGACCCGCGGTCTCCCCACAGTCACAGTCCCAGTCTGACCTGCGGTCTCCCCACAGTCCCAGTCACAGTCCCAGTCTGACCTGCAGTCCCTCACAGTCACAGTCCCAGTCTGACCTGCAGTCTCCTCACAGTCACAGTCCCAGTCTGACCTGCAGTCCCTCACAGTCACAGTCCCAGTCTGACCTGCAGTCTCCTCACAGTCACAGTCCCAG